TACTATTTTTCTACTCATGTATATGCATAAGGTTAATTACAGAAGAAAAAGTGTCGACAATTAAGGAATTGTCGGTAGCCTTTGATCCAGGTGTGTCGGCTTTTCAGGAAAAATAAACTGTCGACAAGTGGAGAAAAAAAAACTGTCGACAAATCGGGATTAAACAGTGTGTCGACCGTTCGGGAAAAAACCAGTGTCGACAAATAAGAGCCTGTCAACCAACAGGGAATACACCCAAAAAACGGCAGTAACAAATATTAAGTAGTCATCCTATTGTCGAGTTTCCTATAATAAGGTGTTATTATTGATATTAGATTAAAAGAACTCTTATTCTTCAGGTTTTCTTTCTGAATCAAACCGAAAAAGTCTTTTGTAGCCTTCTTGCATTCAACTGATTTGTTATCTGTGAGTCCAAGTTTTTTATCAATCTTTTTTTTGTATTTATGGCAGAGTGAGTTTCAAATTATATAAAAAAAAATCATGGCACTGGAGATCAAAAAAGTTAAAAATAAATGAAATCATTAAAAATACACTTTTTATTTTCTAAATAAATGAATACGCAAACACAAATTTATTTTGATGTTGAGAGAGGCTTTGTGTTCTATTGTTTTGTGTTATGCGTCTTTCATTGTAAATAGAGTTATGTCAATCTTATGTGTGTATGTGTGTATATTGCTGTTGTCGTCTTAATTGTGTTTTCTTTTGTGTTTTGACATCAGGTACGAAAATATAAATATATATATCTGAACAGGTACGTTTTTGTTTTAAATTAAAGATTTTTCTATTTAAACATGTTGCATCACTCGACGTGTAAAAATGATCAAAAATGATGCTGCTAATAGAATATTAATTCCAACATTTGTTCCTAATATCGCGCTGCTTGCCTGGGTAACTATCTTATACTCATGAAGAAATTCATCTAAAAAATATATAAATAATGCTCAAATCTATAATTCTATAAGAAACGATTCACTTACTTGCGTAGGCTGTTATTGCTACAACAGTTGCAAATAAACCAAGTGCTCCAATAGCAGCCAAACACAATAGACAACCAAGTGTACCACCTAAAGCTCCTAGTGTTCCACCAAGTGCACCTAAACCAGCTGATCCGGGGCCAAATCCACCACTGACAGGACCAACGGTGGGGCCATAAGGCCGAAAAGGAGTTCGTGCTCCATACACTGGTCTAAATTAACAATATCAAAAATTTTTTTTTGACAAAGATGAACAACTATTATATTTTTACCGTGAGGGCACCCCATATGCTCCGCGAGCTCCATATGGCCTTGGGACGTAAGACATGATGATGTTCAACTATATCTAAAGATGAATAATACAGAATGTTTTTCAGTAATGATCGTTGATTGATACAAAAATTTTTGAAAGACGATATAAAAAGCATATATAGCTCATTTATTATTAAAAAAAAAACACTTACATGGAAGCTGCTACGTTAAAGAGATTCGCTGATGGGACCGCACAATATTTTATCAATGTATAGGTTGCTTTTTTTCTTTAATGCCTGTGAAAATACTATTTGCATATGAAAAGAGCTCTCTTTCTGAATGACTATCGTACGAAAGTATGAGTGCCCACACACATGTTTACACATGACTTTTGATTAATTTTTAGTGAAAAATTATCTATCATTATCAATCGATTTGCTTTTTCTTTACCTGCTCTTCAAGCTTGTTTAAAAAATGAAAAAATGTAATGAGAATTTGTTACATGCGAATTATTTTTTTCCTCTGTGATGACACCCTTGTCCCATGGACGCCTCTCATTTTTTGTACCTGTACATATTGAAATAAAGAAAAAAATAGATACAAACTTGCCTAACTTCCTCTGTTATTGTCAGAAATCTATTTCGATCAAACTCTTAAAGTAAAAATAATCGTTGAAGTTACCTTCAACTTCTCTTTCCTTTTTTTCCTGCTATGCATGATTAAGCCTATGTAAAAGCTTTAGGGTGATGTAAGTAACATGTCCATCATTATGAGCAGTCATTTCTTACGCTTCTACTCATCAAAGAATATTTCTTAAAAAACAATCAATATATAGATGTATATACTATACAATTTTATTAGGGATATCATGCCTATCGTATGTAATATTGAAAGCATTGATTAAACGGAAAAATAAAAAAGTCAAACGCACTTATTATCACATTCTGTTTTCATAAAAAACTAGACAACATATGATATATCTCGAAAGTTCTAGCAAGCAGTTATAGTCGAAATCAGCTATTCATTTAGAAGTTTTTTCTGAGCTTTTATCTGCGAAAGACTAGAGAGAAACATTTATTTGGCCGAATTCAATAAACTCACACATGTGTGAACGTCCAGTGAGAATTATTCACTAGAATGGATTTAGAAAATCGATATTGAAAATCAGAAAATTTCTTTATATGTCGAGGATGTTACTGGTAATTTTCCCGTCTCACTATCTCAAAAATTGAAAATAGATTTTGAACAATTAATAATGAAATTAATTAATTATCTTCAAAATATACATGACAAATTTAACTTGATTTTCTTAGTTTTTTAACATAGTTTTTCAGAAAATGATCGAATGGTTTTGGAACGAGGAAACGAAATTTTCCACGAAGTCGGAAGTATTATTCTTTATAATGTCATTTCAGAAGCATGTAATACTAATTCAGACCTTATAAATCATGAAATAGAGAAATGTAACGCTTGACTGATTCAAAATTTAATGAAGAAATATCGATTTCTGATTATATTTCTCTTATTTAGCATCAAGAAAATTATGTACAAATAAACATTATAATTATTTGGACAAGGTAAGAGAAGAGAAGAGAAAATGTGAGGAAAAATCGACAAACTAAATGTTGCTATCAGATGCTATAGATGACGGGTATAAAGTAGGAAAAGAAATATAACTTCTGTTTTGTAGGTAGAATCAATCATTTATTATTATGAAGAGGAGTCCGCTTGTGTGTTTCGGTTGATTGCTCTATTGGTGCTAGTTCAGGTTTTTTTCTCACACTATTAGGCACATACGACTAGCAGAACCAACAACACAGGTAGGAAGAGACAAAAACAGGATCTTAAAGAGTAATTCTCCAGTAGAGAGCGAAGGGGGTTATTTTTTTTGTAACCTTCGGGAAAAATGCATCATTGACTATCCCCTTTTAAATTTTTATTTTGTGTGTATGTGCGTGAACGTTCTTCTTCTTTATTGTATTACAGTCAAAATCCATTTTTGTTTGATAAGACATACAGCATCTTAATAATTTGTATAGGTGGCAATAGCATTAGGTATGAATATTGGTATAATTATTTCTTATGTCAATAATTCCATCGGTCAACAGAAATGAGTGACCTTGTGGAAGGAAACTTTCAACATAATATGACTATGTTACTTATCTAACATTACGTTTAAATCGTACATCTAACTAAAAAGCGCAATATCTTTGTCCTGTTATCTATGAAAATACTGTCAGACATCATACATATTTTTAGAAAACAGAGACTGCTGCAACGATAGATATTTTTTTTTTTTTTGATGAGATATCACCTTTTAGCCTTAATTAACCACTTTTCATTTCCTCAGTATGCTGTTAACACTTTAAATTTTAGTAAATTAAAATGCCACGAGTCAGAGTTCCTATACGACGATCTGGTGTTCGATATGCCACTCGGCCGGGTGCGCGATACGCTTCACCACCGTACGTACTCTTTGACATATACAAACATACGACATAAAAAATTTTATATTTTAATTATTTAGACCACGACCTTATTTTCCACCACCAGCAGCAAAAAATCGTGGATTAGCTGGATTATTAGGCGGTCTTGGAGGACTTTTAGTGTGTTTATTATGCTTAGCAACATTAGGATTACTGGGACTTTTTGCTGCATTCATTGGTGTCACTGCATATCTTGGTAAAAAGAATAAAAAAAGACTAGCTAGTCTAATATATATTATTTATTTGTTCTCTTTTAGGTGGCGTTTATCGGGCACTTAAAAAACAAGTTAATTCATCATCTGGACTTTATGTGAACGTATTCATACTAATATGTGCCCTTGGTTTTGCTTATTTCAACAAAATTCGTAGATCAATATAAATCGAATTACTGTTGTTTTCAAATTATTTTTCTTCTTTCTCATTGATACAACTTCGGGCTTTTAACTATCTCACTCTTTCTCTCTTTTATTCAACACCAAGATTTTTTTCTTATTATTTTCTTACTTTTTTTTTAAAAACATAAAAACCACGTCGATTTTTAATACATAGATCAAGATAGATATAAACAATATAATTTAAAATTAAAAAAAAAGAAACAAAACAGAAAAGAAATATGATTTAAAACATGTATGTAACCATCAAACAACAACAACAATATTACTCTGTTTCGCCAAATTCAATATCATCCATCAATAACGTATTCCTTTTTTGAATTTTTTTTCTATTTGATGATTTTTTGTTATATTGAGCTTTATTTATATCTACTTCATCGAAGAGATTAATTTTTTGTGTTATCGTTACACTTGTTATAGTAAAACATCATAATGACTCGTTCTAATATTTTTTCTATTATCGCCAATTTGTATTTATTTTTATTTAAAGAAAAACGAAAAGTTAACCGTGTGTGTATCTGTCTTCTATGTGCTTTCATATAATAACATAAATAAAGACAAAGAGATAAAAGAAAATATGCAACAGGAGAACAACACGGCATCATTCACGAGGAACCATTCCAAGGTACCACCTCACTTTCTGCCAGAAATACAGCTGATTTAAGTAATCGACAATGCTGATTCCGAATATGATAGCCATTTGGGCTATTATTACTTTTTTAGTTCAAAACTTGAAAGACAGACCCTTCAGACTCCGAAAGTTCAAATTTTATTTTCTTGGAAACTGTGTTTTAACAACATCAAATTACATAGAATGTCAAACTGTGTATATTCATCAATTTTTAGTTGTATCAGACCTGTTGTAACGGTGCTAAAAGACATTTAAAAAATTAACCGTTTCCTGTGGTTAATTTGCGTGTTATTAATTTCAACTATTGTCGGAAAAAGAACAGTGGCAATGGTTATTTTTTAAGTAACTTGAGAACGAAAGGCGATAGAGACCTGCGGTTTTCAAATTATGAAGCTAGACGCTTTGGGATGTAAACCTATGAAAAAATCAGGGCTCCCTATCAGGTTTACCACGGTGTAACATTCGAGACCAAATCCGAACGCTTATCATTCCCATACCACATTATAAAATCCAACCTCAAATAACACCAATTGATAGCCAGAACACTTGCCTTCAAAACTGCGCAAAGGCCAAGTCTCCTTTGGTTACGAAGATACAGACGTTTTTCGAAGACACACCTATCTCGCCCGAGAAAGGTCTAGAAATCTCAGAAACATGTGGATCATAGGTAATCGACCACACTGATCGTCGTGGCGATATTTGCTTCATTCCCCCACTCAACCACAACTTCAGAAGAGCCAATTTGGCGAAAAGCCGGTTTTTCGTCTATTACTGTCAAAAATTAAAAACCGTATATTTCACTCATTTCTCGTCCAAAACGACTCAAATTTTCGGGGAATTCTCAGAATAGATCATAGAGTGTAGATCGAGTCAAAAAAATTACATAGGGTTTCCACTTTATGCATACAATGTTTTAGCAGATATCTGGAAAAGCTCCGGCGGAACCAAAGTTCAGATCCGATCTTCGAGCAGTTCTGCATTCTATGATCTCTGCTAATGATTTTCTGAAAGTTTGAGTCGCTTTGGACGAGAAATGAATGAAATATACGGTTTTTAATTTTTGACGGTAACAGACGAAAAACCGAGTTTTCGGCAAATTGACTTCAGAATCTGAAAACTACAGGTCTCTATCGCCTTTCGTCCTCGGGTTATTTAAAAGATAACCATTACCACTAGTTTTTTTCGGACAATAGTAGTATACTATTAGTTGGAATTAATACAGGGTGCCCAAAAAATACGATGACGAAATTAAAAACGAAAACACAGAACATTTCGTCAAATTTTCGCATTTGATATTTTTTGTAGCACTTTCTCTCCTCTTTCAGATACACTTTAAATTTTTTCGTTAGTTCTTTTCTACATCATTTTATAGATGAATTCAAACCGAGAAGTTATTGTGCGTTTTTTCCAAGGAAGAAGACAATCTGATATTGCCCGCTCGCTGAATTTGTCGAGGCAACTGGTCTCCAAAGCCATCAAAGGTTACCAGGAGACGGGGAGCAACAATGACCGGCTTCCTGCAATTTGTAGGGCTTTTTTGGCTTGCTAAAAAAGTGAAACAGAGAAAGTGTTTCCATTTTTTGGCCCGCCGTGCGGTTTTGACATTTTTTGCAGCATTTTTTCAGTTTGAATTCATCTATAAAATGATTTAGAATAGAGCTAACGAAAAAATTTAAAGTGTACCTGAAAGAGGAGAGAAAATACTACAAAAAATATCAAATGCGAAAATTGGTGAAATGTTTTTTATAAAAACTTTTCGTTTTTGATTTTGTTAACGTATTTTTCGGGCACCCTGTAAACTCACAGTTCAGTTAAAACACGTATACATGGATTTTTAGTTTGGCAGCACAACTCGATATACTCTACAATCTGGCATTGTTGAAAAACTGCTTCAGAAAAAGTTTTAGATTTTAGAGTTTTCAGAAACCTTGGATTTTTGGAAGATCAATCAAAGCCCAAATATCATATTCGGAATCAGCATTGTCGATTACCTATAATCAGTTATATTCCGGCCAAAAAGCAAGGGAACACCTTGGAATGGTCCCTCGTTACACAGTGGGCATCCAGGAGGACACATTTAGAAAAAATATGTGAGCAAAAAATAGCCTAAATACTAGCGATCTCGAAGAACAAACATTTTTTATTTCATTAAGACGAATTATATTTGTAAACAGTATCTATTCCGAATCTAGACACACTCAGCTATCTATCAATGAAAACATTCATTTTGTTCCTAGGATCTAGACGAAAAAAGATTGAGTTTTAAACTAATCCTCCTTTCGTATAGATGCTCAGAATGTAATGAGATCGCACAAGTTAGCGCAGGTCAGATCTCCTTCAAAATTATACAAAAGTATTCGTGGTCATGTTCTGTATTCACTATGAATGCAGTTTTTCTATTTTACCTTGATATGGGTTTTCCAAAAAAATCTTTTTTGGAGTAAATGTATTTTACTTAATTCAAAAAAACTTTTATTGAAAACTAATGACATATTTGAAATCAGCGCAAGAAAATGCGTTGAATGGCGGGCGAATAAGTTGTTAGTTTTTACAAATAAAAACATTTTTAACAAAAATTTAGGGGAAGTGTCACCATCATCGATTTTGCATCGAAAAAAACTTTTTTCGACTTTTTTTAATTATATTAACAGATATGTATAGCTCAATCTATTTACATTTGTCATAAGGCCTGAAGATGATTACTGTATGGAATCGAAAGCTTACATTCTTATTAGTTTATTAAAGTTTAATTAATACATATATTCTTTACAACAATTTTATAATTTTTTTATTCTTTTCAGTCATATTTTATCATGCCTAACAGTTTTTTGAAAATTTCATCTGTATTGGATGTAATGCGGAGAAAAATTCCCAGAGACCAGACAGCATCTTCAATTTTTCACTGCAGAGAATTTTATCTTCTGCAGCATAATACAATTACCAATGGTTCACGTTTCAATTTGATTTTTGGTTATTTAATAGTAGTGGTCACATGGTATAACGTTGTTATATATATATATATATATATACAGTCTATATTGTAAGAGAAATACGTTAAACTATAGTTGCTTAGTGTTGCTAATATTTTTGTCCTTCAACTGAATGTTAATATGGTAGCGTTCTTTTGCATTTTCGTTAAAATGTACTTTAGATGATAGCCGAATGAACACTTTTCATCTATTTGATATTCGCAGAAATATTTAAGTCTTTTTACTCTATATAACTGGTTTTGATCTCATTATAATGATAGATTTATCCATAGATTGTTACACGTTCAAATTCACTTTTCTTTTTCAGCAATAGTGGTGATTGCTCGCAAAATGAATGTACGTATTGCATTAAAATTTACCAGTGTGTTTATCGTATTTTAATATTATCCAGAAATTTTAAACAACATTTTGACAAAAACCAAGTGCGATTTACATATGTAATAGAAATCATTTTTATTATAGTACTAAGATGAACATAAATTCGATTAAAAGAAGTGACAACTTAATGAGATCGTATCAGTAAATGGTGACATAGACATACACACACACACATATATATATATATATATACAGAAATTCTCTCAAATGGATGGAATGTGTTTTAAGTGGCATATATCTAAGCAAGAAAACAAAAAACAAATGCGCACAACTGAATGCACCTTTTTGTATTAGCACAATAAAGAAAAAATAAATAATATTGATCGTATGAAACATTTAAAAAAATAAAAAGAGAAATACCCTAAAATTGATTTCACTACTGATAAAAATTATAATAAAAAATTAAAAATTCACATGTAAATAGAGACAGTAGTAAAAACTGTTTCATTATCGTCATAATAAAATAGATCTAATACCAGTCATATAAAATCACTGTATGAAATTAATAATAAATTTCAATAAATAACAAATGAAAAAATAAGCAGGCTCATATAATCGCAACATAGTATTGCAATAGACACAGTGAAAAAATAGTGAGAGATTCAGTCGGAAATGTCATTTGATGTCGAAGGAAACAAACGAGTGAACAGAGAGAGAAAACATTGATGACGAATTCATTTCTGTTGAATAGTGAACAAAGATAGAAAGATAGATAGATAGAAAAGTATAAAAAAAATGAACAAAAAGAAAGTCTTTCTACAACAGATAGGTACAATCAATACATACTAATCAGTTTATAATTTCAACATAATTACTTGGGACAACACCTACTAAACCCTTATACTCCGCTTTCCACCAAGTAGAATCTAGAACAAATATAACACAATTAGATGAAGTGAAACAACCAACAATAGATTAAAACGAATTTTTTACCAGAATTATCTACTAATAACAACTCCACATCGGCTGGAAATGATAATTCGTCGGCAGATCGAGCAGTGAAATCATATAATGTAAGCAGACGTTTTTGTTTTGGTTGTTTACTTGCTAAAGGACGTGGGGGTTTTATTGGTGGACAAGATGCACTTTTTCCATTTTTTGTTAAACTGAAACAGACGATACTGCTGTATTTAAAAATAAAACGTTAGTACTATCTCATACTTGTTTTGTGATTTAAACTGTAAACCTTGAGGACGTTCTGCATTAGCCTGATTTGGTCCTTGACAGAAGAAAAAAAAGAAAAGTTATAAAATGAAATAAACATATGAATTAATAGCTAAAACTTTACTAGAATTTTTTGGTAAACCACTCGACACCATGACGGTCATTGTTTTTCCATTAATTTTTACGTCATAATTACGCGGCATATCCGTTGCTTTCTTTAATTTATTTGTATCAATATGACTAGTCTAAATTTATGGATATTAACAACTAAAATGAACCTTCTATAAAAATACTTACTCCTAACAATGCATTTGTTGCTGCATGTAAAAACTTCAAACTGCGTGTACCACCAGCGCTCAACTTTTGTTTTTTCACAGTATAATCAAATCTGAGAACAAAAAAAAAAGAAAATTAATCACATCAATTTTTAATAGCATTTTTAATGACTCAAAATACCCTTGTCCAAATGATATATTTAAGGTACGATTTGTTTTTTTCATATAATTTTTTGATATAATCGAGCAACATTCTGTTTTACTACTCAGTTCAAGAAGAGATGCATAATCATTCGATACACATAATAGAAAAAAATTGTCACGATATTCACTAAATAAAAAAAACTTAGTTACTAGACAAAAGTCGACTGATAATCGTCCATGGAGTCTCGCTGTTTCGATCTTGTATAACAGAATTGAAAAGGCATTTCGAATTAAAAAGGATATTGTTTTAGTTATACAATACGATAATAAAATAAGTTGTATCCATATGGAGATATATATACTGAATTATTTACAGTAGCAAACGTTGAATGAAGTAGGAAGTATGATTCAAAAGTACCTCATTTTAATTTCTGTAATTGTTTCAAGTGGTATTCGACGTTTGACTATATATCGTAGCATAAAGCCTTCTTGTTGTCTTCCCCCCTTCGATTGTACAGTGCCGGACTTTGCATTTCCGACTTTTACCTAAATAAGAAAATATTTGAACCAATTTGTAATAGGCAAATCAAGCGGGAAAGGCGACTTTTTTCTTTCTTAGCATCGGAGAGCATCGCTCTACATCGGATGGTGTGTATCTCAAGCTCCGGAAAGCACCCGGAGTCGCCCTTTCCTCCTTCCAATGTATACATGATTATCAACATACACATTCTTCATCGATCAGATAAATTGCTTGATTTGTTACAATTAAATAGCGTCCTTGTCGACGGAATCTTCTATCATATTTGTACAAATAAGAACTAAATTCATTTTTTTCATTGCGAGGAACGAGTTTTTGAAGATCTGGACGTAAGTGTAAATTGCAGTAATCGCCAAGATAATCACGATCAAGTGAGCGAGCATTACGTTCTTTTTTATCATATAATAAATCGGTTGCTAAAAAGATAAAATATAATGAAACTATTTAACTCGTTTTTTTTTCTTCTATGAATCTTACCCTGTTCTCGTTGTCGTTGATAAACACGAACAGCGCAAAATCGTTTCATAGCTTTTTGAATAATACGAGCGTAATTATCAAATCTTCTCAAACGCATATCTTCAAGTAGATGCAACTGAAACAGTGAAGATAACATTATTTTTTTTCTGTTTAGAAAAACGTTTGATTAGTTCATTACGCTTTCAGGCGATTTGATAAAAACTTTCGTTACACCCATTTGTACTTCTTTTCGATCAATGTGGATTTGATCAATAATATGCATTATTCCATCTTTCATATTGCCATTCCATTTTGGCCAAGTTTGTTTTGTTAATATGGCATAACTAGACGCAGAAAAAATGAAGAGTAACTGTAAATATCTCTTAAATTTAGAATTAAAACAAACCGATTTAAGAATTTGTTAAATTCACGTCGATAAACAAATCCAGCTTTTCGTACTTCAATATTGGCTACAAGTCCCAAATATTTTACCTGATCAACAACACTAGAAAGAAGAAGAGAAGTTTTTGTTGCTATGAACGTTTAGATTGTTAATAAATAAACAATTACTTGGAAGAGTCCCACACATTCGAGGATTGAGTATCGTTCGGCTTTATACAACGAACATCTAAAAGAAAATGATAACTATTAGATAAGAAAACATAAAATAACGTTACTTGTTACGTTGTTACTTACAATGTGGTTGACATTTCATTAGTTTATCGACAAGAAGATTTGCTTGATTTCGAATTTTTGTGCCAGCTGTAGACGGTCGCGCTTTTATTTGTGCTGTTTGTTCCGGGAATAAACTAGCGACAAATGGCCTGAAATTCATATGTAATAAATCATATTATTTGTAAATACATTACAATACGGTCATTTTAATACTTTGTACTTGTTTTCATCATTTCTATCAAATCAATATTTAAAATATCCCGATTTTTTTCACAAAATTGATCTGCATTATATTGAACTTCTCCAGCATAATGTCGAACGGTAAAACATGGTTCAGATACCATTAAATATTGACTAGGAATACCAGTCAATTTCTACAAGAAAAAAAACAATACAATTTGTTTTCGTTGTTATATTACATTAATGACTTACATGTAGAAAACTTTTGTCGACTCTTTCAGTGGTGGCATGAGATGATGCACAAACATCATCTAATAAAAGAAACATGCCTGGAGGTTGTTTTGCTTCAAATAAATCGCAGACAACAATATTATTAAAATATTTAATTGGTATCCATTGAATATTTTCACGTTTATATTCTTCCTAGAATAGAAAAGCGATAATAATGTACAAGAAATAATTTTTTCAATAATGAGATTTACTTGTTCAGCTTTCAATGTTAATTCAATAAATATTTGTTGTAATTTCTCATTAACAAAATTAATACAAAATTGTTCAAAACTATTTTTCTTAAATATTTCAAATCCATATATATCCAATATTCCAATCGATAAATCTGTATCCGTTTTGGTATACATTGCTTGATTTACTGACTAGTACATGTAAACAGAATTATTGTTTAATATCAAAAAGAATTATGATGTTAATCATACTTGTATTAAATAATCAAATATACGAGAATAAATAGATTTGGCTAATGCATCACGTGTGAATATGGCTTTTTCAACGGTAAATGCTTGATCGACCATTTTATTTTCTTGATGTTCTTTAAATTCTAAACGTTTTGATATTAATTTTGTTTTCAAATAATCTAGTTGTATACCGAAATAAGTACATGGAGGTTGTAAATCTTAAAAGAAAATGGAGAGTTGAACTCTGATGACATATTAGAACAGTTTCTAGATGTCTACAGTATTGATAACTACTGATAGGAACCCTATACTATTCGATCTTAAACTTATAAAATAAACTAACCTCGATCGTACAATACTGTAGCATAGTTATTTTTATCTCCAAATTGTACGTTTCCCAAATGTAAAATTCCCGCTAACAACATAAATATATCACTTTGTATTTCTTTTGATAAACCAATTATATTCATTGCACGCTAAGATAAAATAAATAATGTTGCAAATTATTTCTCATCTATGCATGGATAAAACAATTATGTACTTGAGTATCAAGCATATCTTTTGTATCGTCAATTTTTGCCACTCGAAATGAGTCAATATTGTTTATATATTGGAAACGTAGATCAGGAGATAGTGAATATTGCTCTAAAAGAAAAAAAATCAACAAGAATATACTCATTTATCAAATGAATATTAAATTAGAAACGTACGGCGAAAGTCTTTATTTGATAGTAATTGATAGAATATGTGAAAATTTCGTTCATTTTCAGCTTGGAACACAACACGAGACTAAACAACAAAAACAAGAACAATCAAAAGTCAATATTCGACTAAAAACCAAACTGCACCAGCAAAAAAAACATTTCAAAAATGAAAAGTGCACAGTAAACGTTTTAGTAATAAGTGAATCGTTTCTAAAAAAACACATCTCAATGTTTCAAAACCGCTAAAAAACCGTTAGAATCGATCAGTACAAAAAGGGGGGTATTATAAATAATATGAAAAAATAGTCATTTTAATAAGTCGTATTTACCTTTTCAAGCAAGAAATTTGATATTACCCCACCATACGGTTCACCTCCACGCGAAAAACGGATTTCAACATATTTACCCTAAAATAATACATAACAATAAGCGTCATTAAATCATTAAATTTATACTAACTTACAAATCTACTTGAATTATCATTACGAATGGTCTTAGCGTTGCCAAATGCTTCTAATAAAGGTGTTGATTGTAAAATAACCTCTTTAATAGTTTTAACATTTTGGCCACCACCTGAGACCTATGCAAGAAAAGTAAACAATAATAAATATTAATAAATAGGTGTACTCATTTTTACTTCAGCGATGTATCCCATAATGAACTTTGCAGAAACTGTCTTCCCAGCCCCCGATTCACCACTGCAAGAGAAACAACATGTTATCAATGTACATAAATGAAATGCGCATACCTGATGATGACACATTGTTTTTCATTATCGATCAACATGTTACTGTACATATCCTCGGCAACGGCAAATATATGTGGAGCATTATCCATTTGAGTCTACCAAGGGAAAAAAGTTGATGATTTAAAATAGATTATTAATAGAACAGTACTTACCGCCCCACGATACTTCTCCATATATGTATCACGACAATAATCAACACTTTTGTACGGATTAACAGCAATGAGTACATGGCCAATGTAGGTCTAGTATGAGAGTTAAGAAAAATAATACTGAACAAATTTTGATAACTAAAGTCTTATGATCACTTAATACTGATAATGGTGTCGTGAATAATCAAGCTTTAGGGAACACAATAAAAAACAAACACGCAACAATCAAAAAAAAGAATACGTAAATGTAACTACAATCAAATCTTTGTTTCAAATTACTACTGATATCTGTTTCTGAATTCTTTGTCATAAAAACCTAAAAGCAATAGAAATAAATACTAATGTCAACGATGTAAACTGCAGAGTGCTTAAAATATTTTTGTGTTTACCATATCATCAAAACCAGCACGACGCTCACGATCGCGTGAAAAATCATATTTTGCCATTTTTATTAGAGCAGCAAATAACTGTGGTAGTTTTACCTATATTTTACAAATAAAAATATAAATATATTCTTCTAATTTTGTACATGAAATAATTCAGTATCTAATCATGAAAAATATACAGCATTCTAGAATTGGAAAAACAAACAATATAAGGATGGGAGTGCTTTTTATAAGAATATAAATGACCTGTATGCTCTAATTAATTTTTCTCTTAAGTATGCCCATGAAATAAGAAGAACTCTCCTAATATAGCAAGAAGATAAGACGAAGCAAAGACCTGAACCAAATAAGCATCGGGCGAATTCTTTATAAAAAAGTTAAGAACGAGTAACTTTTGTTGATACTTGAGTGAGCTTTTTCTACAGAACCATTAATAAGTGACAGACCGAACCCTTAAGCATGATTCCTGTTCAATTTTCGGTATAAAAGGTAAGATTTAACTGTAAAAAATGAGGAATTATATGAAACGAAGATTGGGAGCAAGCGAGCAACCGCATTCAGTGTTTCTAATGTGAATTAGGGAAAAAAATGTACTGGTATTGTAAATTTTGGTATCGAGCTCAGAGTGCACATAACACTATATAGTTTTATAGTTTTAGTATTCTTCTATTCATATATATTTAGAACTGTCTGTGAACGAATCCATAATAACGATGATTATGATTCATACGTGGATTTGGACGAGACAAAATAATCCAATTATTTAATAAATTTTAAACTTTACGACAATCACCAATGTTCTATTTGCAGCGACATCTAGACACGCAAATCGCAATTCTCTTAGGTTGTATCAACCCTACAGTACATTCGGACTCAAACCACCTCAAACGTTGAAGGGACGTCTTTCTTACGGAAATATACACTTTTTCATAAAAACTTGATAGTGAACTAAACACATGGATGGATAGATCAAGTTCTCTGCATCTCAGAGTCCATGTTGTTTTTGCCAACAAAGGTTTTTGAGAATTTCAGAAGAAGTTCTTTAAAAAGTCTAAATAACTAATTTCTCTGAAATTTTAACATTTTCCTTAGTGAATGTACTCAAGTGTGAGTATTCAAAGTCGTACTCTGCTGAAAAATGTCCCGAGTACTCATGAGCACTCATGAGTGGGTAACGAGTACTATGGGTACGACTTTGAGTGCTCATGCTTGGGTATTGTTCATATAACTTTTGACAAATTACTCATGAGTATTGTTCATCTGATATTTTCATATAGAGGAGTGATCTCAGGCAGTCAGAGTAGAATTACAAGTCTAGTCATAGACGACTCTATCCATGACTATACACAGAGAGACCAGTGAGGAAATAATAATATAAATATTCTATGTTTCTTCACTACATTCTACGTTCTTTATACAGTTTCAGTTGAGCAAAATAAAACGGTGAATGAATATTTTCTGAGTACTCACTGAGTAACAATATTCAAAAATTATCAGTAGTACTAATATGAGTACTCCATGATGAATTATGAGTAAAGTCGTACTCATCGTATGAGTACTTTCACTAGGGTATGTATACCAATACAATTGTGTTATTGCCGATTTTCGATTTGTTTTATGCATTATGTCAACAATGATAATGTTATTAATAGGACTAACAGCTGTATTATACTGTTAGCACCCGACAACGTCATTAGTGATCAATGGTCGAATTACTCATGCCAGTTGGATTTTACACCTATTTTTGTGTTCATATTGGTTACACCTTTCATATGTCCAAAAGTACACGAAAATAACTGGTAAAAGTAATTGGAGTCGTTACTCAAACAAATGTTAGTATATTTTGTGCATTCTTGTTAACAATTGTTGATATACCTTTCTAGGGATTTATTCATGCGTACTTATGCTAAAAAATTTTCAGAACCTTTTTAAACCGTAAGAGAGGCACATCATGACATAAACATCATCTCCCACAGCTCTACCAAGTTTATAAAAAACTCCGGAATCTTTCTTTCTATTCAATCACTTCGGAGCGATAAAAATAATTTTTTCTAGTCAATAATGGAAACATGGTCAAACAGTAAATGTTTTGGTTCTCTCTAGATAAATATCGCGGATCCGAAGGTGATTTGCCGGTAATTCTTCGAGATAATTATTCTACTGCAACAAACGATGAATCTAAAGCTGACCTCCTATCATATTTCTTTCAAACAAATTTCTCCAATGCTTACGAGTCAGTAACATCTCCAGCTAGAACTCGGCCTAACTCACCAGAACTTTTCGAAATAACATTCCATGTTTCTGATGTCTTTTCTGCTATATCGAAACTCAAAAATAAAAAATCAATGGGTCCTGACGGAATACCCATCAAATCTTTTAAACTTTGTGCAGATATAATCTCAACCACAATTGCATCACATTTCTTCCAGTTTCCTTAAAATCCGACATCTTTCTGCAAGCTTGGAGCGGATCTGTTAAAGGGAGTGACACAATAAAATACCCGGATCTTCTATTCTTTCCTCAAGAATAAAGTTTTTAGGCGAGTCTTCTATTGTGTCCCTGAAAGAATGTTGTTTTTGGTAAGGATTAGCATGTTTTTATTTAATTTTTGTAACTAAATTGTTTTTCTCGTTGTTTGCAACAATTCTTTTTGCAGGAAAGAAAATTCAAAACATGTTACACAAGCATAAAATGAAAAATACATCGTTGCATGTGCACATTTAAGTGTGTTTCAGTGAAAAAGAGAATTTGCTTCCAGTAGAAAATATTTATTATGAATTTTTCGATTACTCCATAACTCTGTTCTCAATTTTCTTCGCTAAACCTGAGAAACATGCAGGATACATAATCTTGTCAAAAATCAGTGTTTATTGAGATTTTATATGGATAATTGATAACGTTCGAGACTGTTTTTTATAGCCTTTCCAAGATCGGTTCCCATACTGCTTAATATAAACATTGTGGAATAAAACATTAGATCTTTCTCTTTCGTCGTAATAATTATATATTAATAAATATCGTTTATGTGCTTTGTGGAAGGGAAGTCTAGTTTAGCGTTTATAACGAATAGTTTCGGTAACAATGAAGTTTGACTTATAAGTAAAAATGTGAAAAATAGGAGGGAGTCTTTTATTCTAACTTTTACAATAGGAGTTCAAGGGAGGTCTGCTATTTAGGGAGGTCTTTTATTGTGTGCGTGTGTGTGTGTGTGGGGGGGG